CAAGTAATTAGTGACCGATATAGATATATATCCGTAACATGTGCCTAATTCCAATGGAGATAAGATAAAAAAAAATGTATCTAGAGATTTTCATTTATTTTTCAAGAGTCACTACATTCTTACAGCAAATAACGCTTTTTAATTTAATGTCTATTAACTGAAAATTTGAAATTAATATTATTTTCATAAAAAAAACATTGCAAAAATTTACATTCTTCTGTTTCTTTCCAGTTTTCAAACTAAATGAATAGGAATTTGGTTTTTTTTAAGCCTTACAAGCATTTATGATTGACTACTTTCCACAAGACGCAACGACATTGGAGAGAGAAATAATTTAAGCACGAAGACTTTCGAATAAGTCTCTGGAAGGTTAATATTTCCATGCTGTTTTGATAAAAAATTTGAATTGATTTAAAGAAATCACTACACCAATGCACTGTTGTTCAACTTATCCATATTCCAGTCAGGATTATCTTTCATCACAAACTGTTGTATCTCCATCAGTTCAAAGTTCAAGTGTTAAAAGGTCACACCTACCTCCGGATGCCCTTTTCGAAAATGTCACCGCCTTACTGGCGGTAACGAAAAACAGAAGAACCGCGACGTGTCGCATAATCCTTCTGGCGAAATTAGGAAGAAATTCTTAACAATCTCTTATATATCAACTCTCCCACGAAATCACGTGCTCAAAGAGGTTCCTCAATGGAACCGTTACGAAAGATAAGGAAAATTCTATAGTAAACCAGAAAGGGGGTCCAAGAAGGAGACAGTCTTTAATAACTTAAGTAACACGGGTATTTTCATGGCAATTTTAAGGAATTTTAGTTACTTCTAACCCTTATGGTTGGAAGCACCACTGCAGAATTGAACTGGATCCTAGTTTCTTTATTATATTGCATATCTTACCAACATTCCCTTTAGAAAATCCAGTTACTCTTTGAATAGTAAACACACCTTTGATCCACAGATACGAAATTCTTGACTTTATCATATTTGAAGAACGTTTCCGCAATCAAATTACGCTTCTGTTTGAAAGCGTATGAAATTACGTATTTTGTTATTTTTAGTAGTTAACCCTGGAATATTTATATTGATCATCCAGATTTTTTTTAGTGCTAAATACTTCACATGAAATACTCATGGATGTAAATCTGTTAGTGCATAAGTATTTGAGAGGTTAATACACTTGTTCAGTACTAAATAAAACTCTATGTATTTATCACTATCTACCACACTCAATATAATTCTTCAAATTGTGTAAGAGAGATAAGACCATTATATATTTCATTTTATGAATCTCTTGAGACAAGGATGCCCACTTTCTGCATCTCTATTCAAAACAAATTGTTGAGTAAGCAGTTAGAAGTGAAAAATACTGGTCTTCGAATTCTATGTCCAGTAAACTATTTTAAATGTTAACAAACACTGTACTAAGTAAGTCTACTGATTTTAAGGCTTATGAAATGGTTACGAAACAAAATTTATGAAATCAATGTACACCACTCCTTACGTAGCAGAAAAGAAAGTTCTGGGGTGCACTGCGTGATGATTTCCACTTTCTTGATTCTATTTTAGAGTAAAAGAATCTTTATCCTAATATGTGGTTGGAGATGGCAAAAACCAGAAAAGTATCCTAATATGTGGTTGGAGATGGCAAAAACCAGAAAAGATGAAAGTAAAATTATACCTCTGGATGATTAAATTATAGGTGGTCACGGTGGACAACCATAAACCAGAGGTCAAAGGTTATCCCTTTATTTATTACAGTTTACAGAGGGTGGTCTGGTCAGGTATTTGAAATGAAAATTTCAAACAACCCCGGGTGTATGAATTTTGCTACAAATGACACAATAAAAATCTGCATATGTTTAGCGACTTGAGAGTTGAAAATGAATGACATATGTTTTCGTGTATCTTTTATAAAAATTTACGTCATGATTTTGGAAAATAGGTTGCTAAATCTGAAGGAGCCATGCTGTAAGACCTATATAGATTACGGAATGGTACGGAATAGAGAGTGGCAATATTCTATCTTTCCCCCCTATAACTGCAATTTTCGTCTGATATATAATTAAGAATATCAGCGTTTTTTTTTTTTTTTTTATGTTTGTTTTTTTCTTTTTTTTTTTAACATAAAATGGTATACATGTACATGATTTTATAAAATAAAACTTGGAATTGCGCTCCAATTTTGACGTTTTGAGTGCTGTAACAATCTCTGATTGATAAAACCATAAGAAAACCCTTTTTGTTTTTTTACTTAGGTTAATACAATTCCTGGTTATTTAAAAAAAAAATTGACGAAATAAATTGAAAAGATCAAAGGAATATGTTACGCCAACCTTGGTGTTCATATTCCATCAAATATATGTACAATGTAAACAGGAAGGACGTTGTATAAACAAAATTGAGAGAGAAAAAAAAATAAAATTCCACGAGAATCCACTTTTATTCAAAGCAGCATCCTCTACACGTTCGGCAAGCACTGTTTTACCCATTCTTCTTCACAGTATTTTGGTGAACTGTGAAGAAAATGTATGGCTCCGGCGAAACGCACTGCGTCAAAATATAATTGGGCGGAGAGAAGACATGCGTCATTGCGAAGATCATCCAGCAAAAAGCGTTTGCGTCTGTCAAAGCAAGCGTTGTTCATTGCTCGGTGAAATGACTCATCACACTGCTTTCTGTTGATACCGTGATGAGCTGCCTATAGGTGTGCAAATAAAAAAAATGTAGAAAGAAGATGGGCGAACAAGGAGAGCGAAGTGCCTATAGTGCGACAAACATAAAGGTAAACCTCAATTATAACAAAATTTTCATCTATTTCATCTAAAATTAAAGTATACTTTATGTACAATCTCCGCAATTTACAAATATCTCACAAAGGTTGAAATTATTTGCCTATGAAATAGCATACACACACTAAAGAGGACAAAAAGTATCAATTTCTCATATTATAACACAAATTTTCGATATGAGTGGGTCTCCGTTCCATGTTTCTGAAAGTTATCCTCAAAGTTTGCATAAAAATATACATTTTTTGGTTAACAAAATTATGGAGCAAAGAACCACTATACCTTAAAAATAAACTTTTATGACAAAACATTCGCATCTTTCCGAGAAATTTGTATCACAAATATGATTTAAATGCCACGATTCGTTAGAAGCTGTGTATCGCAATGGTTAGCGTGGTAGTCTCAAAGAAAAATAATATTCATGATTTTCATTGCTAGGGTTCGAACCCCACGAATACCACATTATTTTTTTTAAATAACCGAATATTTTTTGCCGAGGAAACTTTCCTCAGAAAAGTTTTGTTTATCATAATTTCATATATTTCAAAAATGAGAAGTTGACTCTAAATACTAAATTCACAAATTGAATATGATATCGACTTTATATCTGAGTCTCTGCACGCCTTGTTCATCCATCTCCCTTATAAAAGTGCATACCCATCTAATTAGAAATTCTTTCTTGAAAAGTATGTCGGACTAAATCTGTACTCACACAGTCGTAACAGACATCATGCTTATCACAAGAAGAGGTGAAGATTCTAATGAAAGGATGAGGCAAGAACGAAGGAACACTACATCCATCGACGTGACCAGCAGGTGCCCGCGATTTACAAATGTCTGAAGAAACGACAATTCCAAATACTGTTACCAACAATATTGCTATCAACCTATCAGTTAAAAATAGGAAGAAAAGAAGAACATTAAAAAAACATTATATATGAGATTAGTATAAACAGAGATCTGAAGTTTAATAAATATTTACCTCATTTTCTTAGATTGATCAATACCGGATTATTCGCATCAAAATTAGTAAAGTATTCTCTGCAGTCCTTATTTATGTTACAATGTTATCAAACATCTGTTTCAGGATTTTCCTGTTATTTGTCCTTATTAATTTAAAAATTTAACGACTAAAATGACAATTTCCTCCAAAACGAATAGCATTTATGTACTCAATCATCAAGGTGGACCTTCTTTGGCTTATATAGTTTAACATATGTAGCATACATGTACCTGTATGCATGCAGTTGATTACTTTTTAGCCGCGTATGTGTCAATAGTTTGTGGAATCTGGTTTGACAAATATCTCCGTATATACCTTTATACGAGCATTAAATACTGATGAATAATATAAACGAATTTCATGTATAGCATATAAATGGATCGGATTTTTGCTCTTCACAGCAGACGTTTAGCACATGGGTACTCGTGAACAGGGTTGCGCCTCTTCAACGCACCCATCCCATTATCCCCAGTAATGATTTTTATTTTGATTTTTTTTTCATTGATAATCTCTAAAAATCACATGAATATCACGACTCAGATCCAAATATCTATTCACTTTTGTTTCCCGTACCGGAATGTTAATCATCAGATAAAAACAGGCATGGAAGAAGAGATAGGAGGTAATGACCCTTTGCTCGAAATTTCACTCAAAACATTTTAAAATTCCCAATATTGATTTTCACCTACATAAATAGCATTACACTCATTTGAAAAATAGTATGTCGTATAAAGCGGTCGGTGCCATTTTTTTAGAGAGGAATTTTTTTTGTCTTACCATTATCTGAAGAAAATTCTATGAATAATATGAATAGAAACTAAGACCAATAATTTATCAAAAAAAGAGATATACATGTGTATGAAATTATTATTTAGTGTCATAATATAATTTACATAAGAAAAAAATAAAGACAATAATAACCTATATATGTATATGTACGTCCCTGCTAATATTAATGAAAATTCTACATTTGGTATACATGATAAACTACCGCAGACAGTTTTCAAATTGTTTATAAACAGAAAGAAATATCTCATTTTGTAACCATGGTAAGAGAAACTTAAGATCATTTTAAGATTATTTACTTGGGAAGTTATCTCTCTTATCAGAGGGTCGTTCCACCTTAAATAGCTTATCCTGAACCCGAGACCACCGTATTAAGTCGGGCTCGAGATACGAAGAAAATAAAACCATGAACAGAGAAACGGTTAAAACTTTTTAATAACTTTGTTAGTTTGTAACTTGTAGTGCTACTACCACCATGATGACCATGACCCAGCGGTAAGAATACGTTATTGAATTTTTCAAGATTTTATTTATTTTAGAATTGTGGGTTCAAATATGTAACGGAAAATGATTTTTATTTGACCAATAATACTGATGTGGAAAATACCAGAAGGTTGCATCAGAGACATAAATACTGCAGCTTGCATCACAGTTAGATTATTCTAACTAGCATCATTTCGACTTACGAAGTTCTGTTCAACAGAAAAAAAACATGTAAAGAAATTAGGTTGTGAAAAATGGATGGAGTTTTCCACTAAGGCCAAAAAAATGATACAGTAGTCCCATTTCCTGCTACCAGCCGGTATCGGGTTCGTTCGCCCTATCTACCTGTTCGCACGAGTCCGTTCGCGCAAGGTCCGTTCGCCATTATTCTTGTTCGCCCTATATCTCGTTCGCCCTATTATATATACAGTAAATAATAAATATCAACATTTATTATTAATTTTATTCAATATTTTACGACTTGGTGTTTTTTTTTTCCAAATGTTACTACAGAATTTTTTTTATTTACCGTAATCTTCAAATTTGATATTTATGCTCTTTACATGCTTAATTGATTTAATTATACTTAATTATGTCACTGTAAGTTTTGAAAACAATTAAAGGACTGAGACGTTAATTTCTGTTGGTCTGCCGGGTCTTTGATAGGACAGGTATTTATAGTGTGACCACATGCATACGTCTGTTGTCTCCCGTGTGCAATTTATGTACCAATGTACATACAATTTATTTAAAAAATCCATTGGTTCATTATTCAACTTTCTGCAATATAAATAAGACGAACGGACCCTCGGCGAACAAGTTTTAGGGCGATCGGACTCTGGGCGAACGGGAATGAGGGCGAACGGCGTCAAGGGCGAACAAGTTTTAGGGCGAACGAACATACAACCCTACCAGCCTGAAAAAATAGGGTAGGTAGGTAGGAAAATTATTTTTTTATTTTATTTTTTTCTGCTGATGGCATTTTTTGGATATGAACTAATACAAGATCAAATTAAACATGACACAGGTCAATATTGTCTTTTAACATTAAATTTCATGTCTTTTGATGCACAACTCAAGTTTTATTTTATGAAAGTCCCTATTCAAAACATAGAATTTCATGAAAGGCTTGTATTGTGTTAATACAGAAACCGATTACAGTGACAGAACAATGAAATTCTGGAAATTCCCGATTTTTTTCTTCCAAAACTAAAAAAACTTTAGGGTCGGGTGTAAAAAAAAATAGGGTCGGTCGGATAGCAGGAAACAAGACTATTATTTTTTTTGGCCTAATGTCTTGTAGACAGGTTCAATCCAGAAACTATTTCTACCTGTGTACAGCATTGTTAATAGCTAACTAGGTATTTAAACATAGTAAAAGTAGCCCTTCTACCTTTTTACCTGTCTTTAGAAGAAATAAATGATAATTAAGGTGCATCTTTATAATAGGTAAGATTTATTGTAAGTTTATCATGTTGTGCACTTGTATGTGGCAAAATTCAGCTTGTAAATTTGTAAACTTTATGTGGGTGGAGACTGGAGAGGAAATGCATGAAGACTTGTCATAAAACCTTTTATCTAATGATGAAAGTAAGTTTTAAAATTGATACAGACTTGTAAGACATTTTAGGCCTCTAACCCCTAGCTTTGGTCACAAAATACAAGTAAAGCAAAAAGTAGGTAAAACTAGGTACCTGGAGTAGGTTTAAATACCTAGGTAGCTCTAAATAGCTGTGTAGGTAGAAATAGTCTTTGGACTGGACCTCGTAGTATTAAAAGAAACATTGTAGAAGGTTGGGGTTGTGAGGGAATGACATTCATTTTTAAATTTTGACACTTGGATCATTCTCTTTTTAAACATGGATATCTTGGGTAATAATGGGTGTGTTGAGGTTAATGTATGATCATGCCAATAATAATAATGTTATTCACATGATGGTCTTGATAATTGCTGGCTATCTGAACCATCTTCTTAAATTACTACCCGGTAATGTTATCTCACATCCATTGTACCATTATATACAGTTCCTCATTATTTAATGTATAACTTTAATATCTAGAATTTTCAGATATATTGAAGATTTTTGTGAGTCCCATTGGCATGGAGTTGGATAAAGTGAGATTTGACTGTGTATTGAAAATTTATTTGCCCCTTCCTCCCACCCCTCTCTCTCTCCAAAAAAGAGGGAAATAGCTATTCCTCTGTATACATGTATTTGAAAATTATTGTTGCTTTCTTATTTTAGGACCAACTTAAAAGTGATTTTGCTAAAGGAATGAATAATGGGATGTTTGTTACAGCCAAGACATTGATCCAACTGAGGTATCAAACAGAGTCAGATGGAAGTGTGGAAGGTAGCTGGGTGAAATTTGGTCAACTTGTAACACTCTGAAAACTTCCTTTAAGATTTCGTAGTTATGGAGGCAAATACAGATAATATGTCTGTCCGTCCATCTCTGCCAACACAGAGATTGTTCAGACTTGGAAATGGGGCCACACGGACTAGAACAAGTATCAAGATTTGCAAGTATGATGAGGGTATGCAATCTTTGTATTTAATTATATTAATAAAATAAATTTTAAAGTTAATGAAGAGGATAAAAAAAAAATAAATTAGCATAAACTAAATGTTATATCATGTATATTAAGACAAGTCTTCATATGAATTCCAGTGTTACACCTTGATTATTTCCACAGGGCAGCCACCTGCCCTTTCGGCTTCCCCTACTGCCGCCCTGTGCCCTTTTTAGGATGCACTGCCCTTTTTCCCAAGTCCATATTATCTTTATTGTCATATTATTTTGGTGTTTTAATGTGGGCCGCCATTATATCACTAGAAATGCATGCATTGTAATTAATATGACCTATTTACGTTGATGATTAAAAAAAAAAGCTAAATTTTAACACCGAAGAAATTTAGCTTACTGTGTTTATCTTATTTCTATCACAATGCCGAAGCGTGAAAGATGTTTGGAAAAAAAATATTAAATGAAAAAGTGCAAAGGCATTAACAGGAGTTTGAATGACTTATTTAGTACTTCATGAGTGTAAATACAATTTTAAAAATTGTAATAGATCTGCAATCCTGTTTAATTTAAATGTTTTTAATAGCAAATATAATTTATTGATTTTAAAGTAACAATTTTTTTAGATAATGTAGTAAAGAAGTTTTTTTATGCCAAAGATAGAAAAATTCAATTTTATCTTAAGTTAGATAGTTTGTGATAACTGACATTAATGCCTATGTGTATATATATATATATATATATATATATATATATATATATATATATATATATATATATATATATATATATGTACTGCTATTAACGTAATAAAAGACAATGTTTGACATGCCCTTTTTTAATTATCAATCAACGCACCAAAGTGCCCTTTTCAGGATTGGCGCCCTGCCCTTTTGAAATCCTTGCTGGAACACTGCATGAATTCAAAATCTTAAGAACATATATCTGTGCAGATTTTGATTGTAATTTACTAATTTTATTTAAAAATTGATTTAAGAACCAGACTCTGTGCATTCTGAGGTGGGTATTTCTGATGAGGAATCAACTTCGGAGAGAAGTGAAAATGGTAAACATACCAGTGTGCTGCCAAGCAGAGTCCCGTCCCATCTTCTCATGATCTCCATTCTGGAACATTTATGTTTGATGTATGCTCAAGATGCTGAAAAAGGGAAGCAGCTTTTCCAAGGTGCCCTTTCAGTTTAATCAAAAGATCATTGTTTAAGTACTTTACACAAGAGTAAGATAGAGTAGGGACTTTGAAATTATTTCTATATTATGTTTTCTTTGGCTTCACGAGCTGTCATTTATACAAACCAGTAATAATTTATATGAAGTTATGAATGTCCAATTGTAAATAAGTACAGTTTTCTAACCTGAATAAGTCAGAGAATACAGTGATTAATAAATAATAAATGGTTCATCAGAGATACTGATTGTCATATCACTTCAGTATAATCTTTGTTTGACAGTTATATCGGATCAGTTGGTTCGGCACCAGTACGTCTCCCCCTTTACTGTGTTGGATGAGATGAAAAGCATCAGAGCACAGTACCGTTATTTCATGAATCACATTCTAAAGGCTGCCATGATGAAAATCTGTCAGGTAAGAGAGGGGCTTATTTATCTCATTTAGTGAAACATTTATACTTTAGACCTCACATGGAATGTTCAGTGTAAAACATCTTTTGTATGAGACATTTTTGGTAGGAAATTTTCAAATTGCCCTCCTTTTAACAGACACCAGCTGCATTACCCAGTAGTTCTAGTCAGGAGATTCCTTGTGTCAGTTCACCAGGGTAAGCTTCAATTATACCCATTATTGAGGTTATTTTGATTATGAGAAAATTATCTTTTTTCAATGTTATACCACCCATCCTGACATAATGAGGAGCATCACTGCATACAGGTAAATCTCTAGACGTTTTTGAACTTTTACAGACTGCGACACCAATTGTCTTTCCTGTCTACAGATGAAATGCTACAGATGCAGACCTCAAGATACACAACAGAATTCACAGAGATCAGCAAAATAGGCAAAGGAGGTTTTGGATCAGTGTACAAGGTGCTGTGTTGTAATATTCTATATGCATAAGCACTAGTTGCATACATAATTCATCAAAGTGACAGGTATACAATTGACATTTTTTCATATCTACCTTATTTTAATGCCCTTCAGACTTTTTAGATCACCTCAATGAAGTTGGGGGAGCGTATGTAATAATTGGAGCAGGTTAAAGTTTTTGGAGCAAGTCTCATTTCCAAGTAACTATAAGCCCTGTATTGACAAAACCTGCATTCATGATACATCTAGGGATGCACACTACCAGGCTTGCTTCGGCTACTGGATCTGACCTACATTTTCTGGATGAGTGACCAGGTTAAAGTTTTTGGAGCTGGTTCATTCCAGTGTAACTTCAAGCCCTCCCTAGAGTAGGGCTGTCACGAGTACCCGAAATAACCGAGAACCGCGGTCCAAGTTGTTCGGTTCGGTTTCGGTTCCATTTTCCGGATTTCGGTTCGGATCTGGTTTATATATTAGAGTCTGTTCAATACAAAAAATGGCGTCGAAATCAAAGGAATAATGACGATAACAGTGATAAATGAACATCACAACTGAAATCTACTTCATTCCATGGCAAAACACTTGTCATGGAAGTATTAGATAATTATCGAAACGAGCAGGAATGGTCAGGTTGTGGCTAATAGTAGGCCAAGTAGTTCTACACACCGATGTCTAAACGTTCGCATGGTTAAGACTTGTTTTCAATGTAAATTTAATGTAACAAATAACTAAAAGATTTTTCAAGTTAAATTCCTGAAATTAAGGTTTAAAATAGATGTAAATAACTGAACCGAAAATCCGAAACCGAACCGAAAATTTACAGAACCAACCCAACCCGAAAAATTTTGGAACCATGACAGCCCTACCCTAGAGCAAAGTTGCATGGATGATGGATCATGGGTTGAACATTCTCAGACTTGCTTCATATGCTGGATCTTTTTATGGATTTTATGGATGAATGACTAGGTTAAAATTTTGGAACAAAGGCTCATTCCAGTGTAACTTCAAGCCCTGTCTGCACCAAGCTTGCATGGATTTTGCATCGAGGGATGCACACTATCAACTTGCTTCAGATGCTCGATTTGACGTACATTTTCAGGATGAGAGACCGGGTTGTAGTTTTTGCAGCAGGTTCATTCCAGTGTAAATTCCAGCCCTACTTGGACTAAACTTTGACGGATTATGCATCTAGGGAGACATAATTCGGGTGGAGAAGTATGCTTTCTGGATGACTGACCAGGTTAAGCATTTTGAGCAGATCTTTTCCTAAGTGACTATAAGGCTTACCTGAACCAAACTTGCATGGATGATGGCTCAAGGGATGCACACTAATAGACATGCTTCGTATGCTAGATCGACCTGCATTTTCTGGATGAGTGACCAGTCTAAGTTTTTAAGACAAGTTCATTCTCAAGTAACTGCAAGCCCTATATGGACTAAAACTGCATAAATGTTGCATCTAGGAATGTGCACTACTAGATTATTAGTTTAATGTGGGACTTTGCTTTGAACTTAAATATCAAATTTGTTAAGGTGAGCTCTGTAATCTTTGATTCCCTATGTTTTAGTGTTTAAACTGATTTAAATATTGATTGATACATTAGATTGATAGCCCTGGTATGTGTGTAAAGTGAAAACAGTTTACTGTTGAGTACCGGTATGTAAATGTTTCGAGAATAATTTCAGAAGTGTTTTTTAGCTCACCTCAACGAAGTTGGGGGAGCTTATGTAATACCCTCGGCGTCGGCGTCGGTGTCGGCGTCGGCGTCCCAGGTTGAGGTTTTTGGAGCAGTTTTCTTTTCAAGTACTTCTATAGCCTATATTAGTCAGAGATGCATGGAGGATGCTTCTAGTGTGTTTTATTGTACCAGTCAAGGTTTCAGATGCTGCAATTTCAGCTAAAGAATGACCAGGTTAATGTTTTTGGAGCAGGTTAAAGTTTTTGGAGCAGGTCTCATTTCCAAGTAACTATAAGCCCTATATTGACCAAACTTGCATGGATGATACATCTAAGGATGCACACTACTGAACTTGCTTCGGATGCTGGATCTGACCTACATTTTCCGGATGAGTGACTAGGTTAAAGTTTTTGGAGTAGATTTCATTTCCAAGTAACTATAAACCCTATATTGACCAAACTTGCATGGATGATACATCTAAGGATGCACACTACTGGATTTGCTTCGGATGCTGGATCTGACCTATATTTTCTGGATGAGTGACCAGGTTAAGGTTTTTGGAGCAGATGTCATTTCCAAGTAACTATAAGCCCTATACTGACCAAACTTACATGGATGATACATCTAAGGATGCACACTACTGGACTTGCTTCGGATGCTGAATCTGACCTATATTTTCTGGATGAGTGACCAGGTTAAAGTTTTTAGAGCAGATGTCATTTCCAAGTATCTATAAACCCTATATTGACCAAACTTGCATGGATGATACATCTAAGGATGTACACTACTGGACTTGCTTCGGATGCTGGATCTGACCTACATTTTCCGGATGAGTGACTAGGTTAAAGTTTTTGGAGTAGATCTCATTTCCAAGTAACTATAAGCCCTATATTGACCAAACTTGCATGGATGATACATCTAAGGATGCACACTACTGAACTTGCTTCGGATGCTGGATCTGACCTACATTTCCGGGATGAGTGACTAGATTAAAGTTTTTGGAGCAGATGTCATTTCCAAGTGTCTATAAACCCTATATTGACCAAACTTGCATGGATGATACATCTAAGGATGTACACTACTGGACTTGCTTCGGATGCTGGATCTGACCTATATTTTATGGATGAGTAACCAGGTTGAAGTTTTTGGAGCAGATCTCATATCCAAGTAACTGCAAGCCCTATATTGACTAAACTTGCATGGATGATACATCTAAGGATGTACACTACTGGATTTGCTTCGGATGCTGAATCTGACCTATATTTTATGGATGAGTGACCAGGTTAAAGTTTTTGGAGCAGATGTCATTTCCAAGTAACTATAAGCCCTATATTGACCAAACTTGCATGGATGATACATCTAAGGATGCACACTACTGGATTTGCTTCGGATGCTGGATCTGAGTTACATTTTCCGGATGAGTGGCCAGGTTAAGGTTTTTGGAGCAGATCTCATTTCCAAGTAACTATAAGGCCTATCTGAACCAAACTTGCATTGATGATGCATCAAGGGACGAACAATCTCAAAACTTGCTTCGGATGCTGGATTTGACTTACATTTTCTGGATGAGTGACTAGTTTTAAGTTTTCAGATAAGTCTATTCCCAAGTAACTATAAGCCCTATCAGACCAAAATTGCATAAATGTTGCATCTAGGGATGCACACTCCTAGATTATTAGTTTAGTGTGGGACTTTACCTTACTTAAAGACAACATTCGTTGAGGTGAGCTCTGTAATCTCTGATTACCTATGTTTTATTTTAGGCCAGACATAATCTTGATGGGAGGATGTATGCAATCAAAAAGATCAAGTTTAAACACTCAAAACCTGAAGTGTGGATGAGGGTATGTTATATTCACAAATAAAAGATTTTTAAAAAAGGGGGATATAGAAAACTTGAATTCTGAAATCTACCTATCAACACTGTTACTGTTATACTCCTATAATTCATTTCCCCAGGTTCTGAGAGAAGTGAAAGCTTTAGCCAATTTACAGCACGGGAACATCGTCGGCTATAATGCTGCCTGGCTGGAATACGCTACAAACTTTGATCCTGAATGTGGTATGTTATCATATTTAGAACAGTGCATATAAAATAAATAAAATTTCAATTTACGAGCATTTTATAGTATAAATTGTATGCATAGCCTTAGTAGAGAGGAAGTGCAGGGAATTAAAATCTCCACATTCTATTTATCCTCAATCTAATTAAAATTAGATGTTCCGAATCCGCTACCGCTTCTCAAACATCTAACAACATCCCATTAGGGGTCACGTCAGAGCGACCTTTCGACTATGAATAAACATAAAAAATTTTGGCCAATCAGATTAAATCTTCTGTATAGGATTCTAAAATTAGTTCCACGGCTACATCTTTACATTATTGATGCTCAGTAGACTGTTTTATGTTGAATTAGAGTAATTTTGGTATAAATTGAACGTATAGTCCGCTAATCTGGCATTCTTACCTGAATAATGCAAACGAAAATGCACAAACTACATGTAAACATCTATATATCCCGCACGTCACATTTATATATAGCACGGTCTTCACCATGCATATTTTGTTTACTACGAAACCCCTCGGGCGTTTAGTTGTGGCAGTAAAAAAAAGAAACGCATGCGAACTATAAGCCAAGAGTTCAGAGATGGCGATTTCATTGGGTAATCGAAAGGTCGCTCTGACGTGACCCCTAATGGGATGTTGTTAGATGTTTGAGAAGCGGTAGCGGATTTGGAACATCTAATTTTAATTAGATTGATTTATCCTAAAACATCATTAAAGGCAATAACCAGTTAGTAGTTTCATTTAATTTATTTACATTTATATGAAACCAACCCTTTTTTTTTTGTTTTTTTCATTAACAATTTTTCATAGTATGTTTACATGTAGGTGTATTTGTGATTTGGTGTTATAACAGATATGATGGAATTAATTGTAGATACAGTAAAACAGGCTTATAGCAAACATGCTTATAATACATTGATGCTTATAGCGAAGTGATTTTCATTCCCCATGAGTTTAAAATGTATTGAACAATTAACGTATACAACGAATTACACTTATAACAAAGCAAAATTGTCTGTCCCTGGCACTTCATTATAAGCGTGTTTTACTGTATGTGTCTAATGCTGAAATTTATCATGTATTCCAAGTACTTGTAAAAGTTATAACGAAAAAAAGTAATAATTTTTTATACAAATTCACAGTGATAAATTGTATGTTACAGGGGATACGGCTTTGTCTTCTCCTGCAGATCTAAGGTACGCTATTTATCTAAAATAATATTACATTTAACAGCATCCAATGAAAAGAGAGAAAATCTGTTGCTATTTACATTTGGATTTTAAAATTCTAATATATGTACAATGAAACTTGTCTAATCTGAATGTTGTGTATTCGAAGTCTTGCCTAATAAGATGAAACATTTCAATTCAATTGTTTGGAAACAACAGTGTCTGGATTAGACAAGTTTTACTGTATTTGCACCTATGTGAGAGTAGAATGGAAATATTGCTTGCAAGTACAGAACTTAATTGATCCGTAGTCTACTTTAGGGCTGGGGCAATATATTAAGATATGGATAATATCGATTCTGTGTGAGGACAATACCCACATTGATACATAAGTAGAAATATCGCAAAAAAAAATTATGTTTTCTTAATTGTTTACTTAACATTTTGGGTTTAATATTTATAATAAATATGCTAAATATCAATATAAATATGAAATACATAGTAATTAACAACACTTATGTAAAATAATTTTGTTTTACAGCAAATATACAACTTTTTAGGTCACCTGAGTCACTCAGGTGACCTATTGCTATCTGTTTTCGTCCGTCGTCGTCTGTCGTCCGTCGTGCGTCGTGTGTTAACATTTGAACATTTTCAGCTTCTTCTCTGAAACCGCTGAACCAATTTCAGCCAATTTTTGCATGTGGCATCTATGTGTGAAGGGGAACAAAATTTGTGAATTTCATGGTCCCTGCCCCCCTGGGGCCTGAGGGGTGGGGCTAAAACCATCAAAATTAATGCAATCTTTAAAAATCTTCTTCTTTGCTCCTGGACATCAAGCAGTCAAACTGTTGACATGATTGTAATAAGCATTGAGCCCTCTACCAAATTTGTGAAATTCATGGCCCCAGGGTCAGGGGTTCTGGTGCTAGGGCGGGGCTATATAGATCATATAGTGAAAGTGCATTATTTCTTTGAAAATCTTCTTCTCTACTCCTGGGTATTATTGAAACAAATTGAATACATAGTTATGATAAGCAAGGGTGACTCTACCAAAATTGTGAAATTCATGGCCCCAGGGTCAGGGGTTCTGGTGCTGGGGGGGGGGGGGGGGGCTCTATAAATCATATAGTGAAAGTGCATTATTTCTTTGAAAATCTTCTTCTCTACTCCTTGGTATTATTGAAACAAATTAAATACATAGTTATGATAAGCAAGAGTGACTCTACCAAAATTGTGAAATTCATAGCCCCAGGGTAAGGGGTTCTGGTGCTGGGGGGGGGGGGGGGGGCTCTATAGATCATATAGTGAAAGTGCATTATTTCTTTGAAAATCTTCTTCTATACTCCTGGGTATTATTTAAACAAATTAAATACATAGTTATGATAAGCAAGAGTAACTCTACCAAAATTGTGAATTTCATGGCCCCTGGGTCAGGGGTTCTGATGTTAGGGCGGGGCTCTATTTATTATATAGTGAAAATGCATTAATGCTTTAAAAATCTTCTTCTCTGCTTCTGGGTATTATTTAAACAAACTAAGTACATTATTATGATAAGCAAGGACACCTCTTCCAAAATTGTGAAAGTCATAGCCCCAGGGACAGGGGTTCTTGTGCTAGGGTGGGGCTATATAGCTCCTACAGTGAAGGTGAATTATTTCTTTGAAAATCTTCTTCTCTGCCCCTGGGTACTATTTAAACAAACTATGTACATTGTTATGATATGCAAGGATGCCTCTTCTAAAATTGTGAATTTCATGGCCCCAGGGTCAAGGGTCCTGGTCAAAAGGTGGGGGGGGGGGGGCTCTATTGATTATATAGTGAAAAATCAAAATTTCTTTGAAAATATTCTTTTCTGCTTCTGGTTAAAAAGCAAAGAAGCTAAGTATATAGTTATGATGAGCAAGAGTGCTTCTTTCAGAGTAGTGAATTGCATGACCCCTGGGTCAGATGTGCTGGTATAAGGGTGGGGCTGTTGATAATGTAGTGAAAATGCATTAATTCTATTAAATAATCCTGTCTGCTCCTTAATGTTAAGCAGTTAAACAAAGTGATAACTTATGATGAGCAAACTTGAAACTTCTGGTCCCAGGGTGAGAGGCTCTGGTGTTTCTCAGTGGTGAAGGGGGGGGGGGGGGGGGGCTCTATTGATAATATAGTGAATCTGTAGTGAAAATGCATTATTTCTTTAAAAATCTTCTCTGCACTTGGGCATATCATTAACAGTTGTAATAAGGTAGGGTATTTTTACCAGATTTTTGAACATATGGACCATTTGGTCAAGTGTTCTGGTCCTAGCCAGGGCTCAATTAATTTGCATTCTACTGAGAGGAGTTATTCCCCTTTGCCATTTACTTTTGATAATTAATCATTGTAAATAATGTACTTGAAAAATTAATAGAATAAGAGAATTATGCAAGAATTTTTATTGTATAATACAAAAAGTATTTTCATAGTTTTAATGATCATGTGGACTTGTAAGTAATAGATAAATAAAAATGAGACAAAAATAACTTGTCTTATTAAATGTTCATCAAAGACCAAGAGAGGCCAATGTAAGAGATTACAACAAGGAATTAAAATAGTACAAAAGCACTGACAGTTTGTTAATATACTGTATGGTGATAGTGATAAATGGGGAACAGATTAGAACCTAATCTATGAACTGTTAATGAATAGTAGACTAATTATTTTGTTGATCCTGATCACCCTATTTTTCTTGCTTTTGGGCAACAAAGCTTCACCTTTCATTTCATTTTAATACTCTATGGATCCTCTAAATTGTTGTATTCTACTCAGGTGACCGTTAAGGCCCTTGGGCCTCTTGTTTGAATAAGTTATTCTTATTTGTGAAGAAACGTTTTGTTCATTTCAATACAAAAAGAGGATTTTAAAACCAAAATATTGCGATACATATCGTATCGTGGCTCAAATATCGTGATACACATTGATACAGAAAAAGTTGTATTGTCTCAGCCCTAGTCTACTTATTTCCTCCAGTCAGAAGGTACGGTACATGTGAACACTTTTCCCATTACAGCTTTCAGCCTAAAGATAAGGAGACGGATGACAGTGTGGTGTTTGCTGCCTCTGGAGCCAGTGGAGCTAGTGATGGCATTAACTTTATAGTACACAACACTGCCTCTGTTTCATCCCCCTACAGGGGCCCCTTTGTGGAGGAGCTGGACCCCAGTGACTCGGGGAGTGTCTGTAAAGCTTGTCTACTGAACAATACGAGTCAGGTGGACACTCAACAGACAGGACTGATAAAAAATCCTCCCAAACACAGCTGTGCCAAGAAATTCTTCGAGTCTGAATTCACAGGGACTTGCTCCTCGGTGCAGGCAACTGAGACTGTAGACAGGGGCAGGGCCTGGGATGTTATTGACACAAATGGACGGTTCTGGAATAGGCAGCTCAAAGTGAAACGAAGTATTAGCTATGATCATATGCCGTGTTGTGATGACACTCATGAGAAATGTCAAAAATTTGAAGTGAGTTATCTATGTTTTATTGTATTTTCTCACAAATATATGTCAGAAAAGAGGTGTTACACTCATGAATATAGCACAGTGAAAGAATATAAAATTATGTTATTTTATTGCTAAGTGTACATTTTTGTTTCAGATAAATGTAAGTTTGTTTATACAAATGGAACTTTGCAGTCTTACATTAAAGGATTGGCTACAGCTGCGAAACCAAAAGTGTACAAATAAGAAGGGTATGTTTGTGTGTGTACATAAACCCTGTCAACTGACACAGGGATTTATCAGTACCTTCTCAGGGGCCGAAATTCGGCCCCATTCCCAATTGAAAATGAGTTCAGTTTTTCCCAATTTGGCAGTGTTTTTTCCCAATTGGTGAACAATGCTTTTATATTTAATTATCTTGGAAAAACACAAGGAAAATTGTCAGATTGTCTGTAATTTTCATATATTTAAGTCATTTAGCTAAACTACAGTCATAACACATGTTTAAAAACACTGTAAAAACATCGCCAACTTTTAATCCGAATTTCCTCCGTTTTTTCTGAAAATGGTGATATTGTGTAATTATATAGATTGATTAAGTTATTTCTACATACTCAATTGATCTACGAATGAATGGTAAGGACTGTAGGCATTATTTCAAATAGAAAAATATATTTTCAATGCATTAATACATATTAAAAGAGGACTTTGAGAAAATATATACTTGCAGGAGGTTTATATTTTCCAGAAACAATTCTGTAATGACCTAAATTGGAATCTCATACACACATTTACTACCCTAAGTTGTATCAACACTTCATACTCATTGAAGTCAATTTTACTTTTATTAGTCTGTTATTCATAATTGATCTTGTATGAAGTTGGATCATATATAATTGTCTGTTTGGCTGCCCAAATTAGAGTTCATGCTGAAATGTTAAATGAATTACGCCTGAATACATGAAATAAGCAACATTTTTAATTTTTCCCAATTTCATCAAAAAGCCGATAATTTTTTCCCAATTCCCCAAAAATGGCGTTTCCCAAAATAGGCTGATAAATCCCTGACTGATCAAAAATGTACAAATAGGATGGGTTTGTTTGTGTGTGTGTGGGGGGGGGGGGGTACATAAACCCTGTCAGCTGATCAGCAGTATTTCTAAATTTTGAATGTTTACTTGTATTTTATTGATATTTAACAGTCCCCTGTATATTTTTGTATACATGTACATGTATGTAAATGTTTCAGATCTACTGATTAATATGTACATGCATATACATGTACAGTATATGTGTAAAAAATAAACAATTCTGGTATTGCTGATTAAGACATGTACATGTATGTACATGTACAGTATACATATAAATAATATATATGTATAGTGTTATCAATGTAAGACATGAATGTTTCAGATCTGCCATATTACTCTGTATACAACATGAAGATATTTAAGCAGATTCTTAAAGGAGTTGAGTTTATCCACAGTAATGGTCTTATTCACAGAGATTTAAAGGTAATTATGTTCCCCAAACGAAGTTTGGGAACATATTGTTTTTACTCTGTTTCTTATTATTATTATTAAGTCTTCCGTTCACAACGGAAGACTTATAGTGATTGTATTGTTTCTTTTTATTATTATTATTATTATTATTATTCCTCCCAAATTTTGTGAGCGCGATTACTCAGAGATGGTTGGATAGATTTTCACAATTTTTCACATGATAGTAGGCTGATATATGAAGTTTATATAAAATTCCGTTTTTTGAAAAATTCACTTCCGGTCCGAAGTTACGGCCGAATTTCCACTTTTTAAATGCACTTTTGTCCGGAATTTTTCTCGGAAACGGTTTGAGGTAAAGATGTGAAATTTACAGGAGTATTAGATCATGACATTCTCTTTGTTTCGAAGTTATTTTCGTGTGTTTCCGGTACTTCCTGTCCGAACCGGAAGTGAACTTGTGTTTGGTCAATTTTCAACTTTTTTGTTTTTTAATATTTTTTCAAGATATTATTATGTATAACAGAGGTTATTCTACAAATATTAAATATATAATTTGTTTTAAAATTGGATTGCGCATTTTCTAGATTTTTGGTACCGTCATTTTCCCCATTTACCTAGTGTGTAAACAATGGGCAAAGAAAGATAACTCTGACTTGTAAGTGAAAATAGAACTTTCGAGATAAAGGCGGAAATAGTATCGATGACGTAAGAGACATATACACTCTCCATATCAAAATATTTAGACGTTCCATATTCACTCTTCTAAATATAAGAGTACGTTGGTTACCACTTCCAATGCATGTATAGTTTAAAGTTGCCAGTGTAGTGTAAGTCTGTATTGACAGTTAATTTATTTACACATGAATATATCTAAAAAAAAAAATAATAATATATATGCTAGGTACCTAATTCAAGTAAATATATTATAAGCACTGAGTATACATTTATAGTGATGGACAGGAATGCAGTTTTATCTATCTCGTATAGTAAGTTCAGAATACGATAGTTATAAGCCTTCTATAATGCAGACGATTTATTATTCTCTATGATTTGAATGCGAAATTATCCCGATTTCCGAGTTTTATTTTCGATATTAAAAAAAATATTACATACACTCAAAAAGGAATTGAGCGATAGAAAATTGTAATACAGTACTGTTTTAAAGCCTTTATAAATAAATTGATATCTGCCACTTAAAAGAAAGAAAATCAATCTGTAGATTAGATTTTGTTATTACATGTAAATTTGATAAAAAGTTAAATTATTTATGACACATGATCTATATTCTATATACCCAAGGAATTATAAAAGATGTGAAAAGACGATTCTTGGGCATGGATTCTTGTGAAATACTCAAAGAGTTAAAAAAAAATATGTGAAAACGCGATTCTGTGTGAAATAATGCTACGCTATATGTTTCTTTTGAAAAAAAAACATGAAAAAAAATTGCACAGGTCTGTTGATATGTGGGATAAGTATACCTGAATGAACACAATTTTATGCAATGATATATAATTATGTACATGCAACTGACGTCCGTACTTTTCCTTATAATTCATAAAACATAAAATTATCTAATTCCTTTGAAGACTCCCCCCACCCCCCGTCTTGATTAATATTTGGAGACGTTCGTGCAGCTAGGCATTTGAATTATATATTCGTTTTAGATTTAAATCTGTAACATGTGAATATAATTACCATTTACATGTATACAGAATTTCATATTCTATAATGGTAGATTTGTCATTATGAAATGTTCAATTTACGTCTGAGAGAGAGAGGGGGGAGAGAGAGAGATTCCCTCTTAATCCCGATCCTCCTATCCATTTACATAGAGCAAAAATTAGTTCTATATCGGTCACACCCATTCTTAATTAAATGTTTTCTGATTTCATAGTCAGTCATGGTCACATCCTGTATATTTTTCAGCTTAAAAAGTATCACACGAAGTGCACCTGTGTTGACCTGTCAATCAAAATCACTTGACGCTGTATGCACTGCAGTTAAGTAGCCTGAGTTCGAAATGATCTTGAAGTATGATCTTAAGTAAATCTGATGCAACAAACTTGTGAAAAAATAGAATAAAATAAAAAATAAAATATCTCGGTATTATGAACTTCGATTGTGGGACGTGGAGACCGGTCCTTTGGATGAGATCGTATAAATCGAGGTCCCTTGTCGCAGAAGGTGCTGGCATAAAAAAGATTCCCCTCTGCTCAATTGCGATAAGTGCCAAAGTATGGGACAAAAATTTGCAGTCTCCACCGGCGAGTGGTGGCGTCTCCATGTGAGTGAAAAATTCTGGAGAGGGACGTTAAACAACATACGTATAATCAATCAATCGATTGCTGAAGAATTACTGTAATTGAATAATCTGTCTTATAGGTCTGCTGTCAAATCTTGATATTATAACTTTACAAAACTCAGATACTTTAGGTTAATGTGATACTAACTTAATTCATTATATTTTTTTATAACACCATACACAATTATGCCAAAACATACACACAGTGAAGTTTATGATAGTACGGTGTTCGTCTGTTTGTTTGTCTTAGAAATGATTGCAAACAATTTTTTTTAATTGCTAATGATATATTATGTATATCTCTTATAGGTGCCAAATGCATTATACAAGATTGATAATGAAAATCAAAGTACCTTAAGTACTGAAAGGACTTTTTTTCCAGTTATTTTTTTCTTTTACAGTAAATATGATATGTATGTTTTTTACACAGAAAAAAGCAAATTCTTACAGATTTAGAAGAACGGAAGACTTTTTTGTTGCCATGGCAACAAGAGTCTAGTTATTATTATTTTTCTTCCTGGGTACTTTTTTGTCCGTGAGTGATCTCCAAAACTATACATCCGATTGAGTTGAAACCTTTTTAGGGTTAATAGGAATGTTATGTAGATTTGCGGAACGAAGGTCATTTTGCGCGCACGTGCATGCACGTGCGTGCGCGTGCAATGAGTAAAATGACCAATATACTTGATATAGCCATAACTTTTATATCTTTTGATGAAATACTTTGATACTCAGAATATAAGGATATATTAATAGTGTAGACATGATGACATGGTCAGAATGCACATGCATGCACGTGCGCGCATGCGCATTGATTAAAATAACCAATACAATTGATATAGACTTAACTTGTATATTTTTTGATGAATTGCTTTGACACTCAGAATATAAATATATATTAGAAGTGTAGACAAGAAGACTTGATCAGCGCACACATGCATGCACGTGCGTGCATGTGCGTGCGCGTGCAATGAGTAAAATGACAAATATACTTGATATAGCCATAACTTTCAACTCTTTTGATGAAATGCTTTGATACTCAGGATATCAGGATATATTAATAGTGTAGACAAGATGACATGGTCAAAATGCACATTCATGCACGTGTGCGCATGCGCAATGATTGAAATAACCTATACGAATGATATAGACTTAACTTGTGTATTTTTAGATGAATTGCTTTGAAACTCAGAATATAAATATATATTAGAAGTATAGACAAGATGACATGATCAGCGCGCACATGCATGCATTTGCATGCACGTGCGTGCGCGTGCAATGAGTAAAATCACCAATATACTTGATATAGCCATAACTTTTACATTTTTTGATGTTATGCTTTGATATTCAGAATATATAGACATATTATAGATGTAGACAAGACGACATTGTCAACATGCATATGCATGCACGTGCGCGCGCATGCAATGCTTAAATGACTAATATACTTGATATAGCTATAACTTTTATACTTTTTGATGAAATGATTTGATACCCGAAATATGTAGATATATTTATAGTGTTGACAAGATGACACGGTCATCATGGACATGCATGCACGTGCGCGCGCGTGCAATGCGTAAAATGACAGATATACTTAATATAGCGGATTTTTTTTTCATCTTTTAATGAAATTTGAATATAAAGATGTATTAAAAGTGTAGACAAGTTGACATGGTCATTTTGTACATGCATGCCCGTCCGCGCGTGTGTAATGCGTAAAAAAACCCAATATACTTGAGTGCCTTATTTAATGAAGCTTACAGGGAATAATACACCAAAAGGAAGTTGGGGAGCGTTTGGGGAACATCTGTAACGGTCCCCGTTACAATTAATACTAGTTTGTATGTGTCTTAGCTGCAGAACTGTAGCTCTCTGGTTGAGAAAATTTGGTCTTATTCACAGAGATTTAAAGGTAATTTGTATGTGTCTTAGCTGCAGAACTGTAGCTCTCTGGTTGAGAAAATTTGGACAGATAAACCAGAGAGCTACAGATCCAAGCGTTGTAAAACCTTCAATTTACGTCGCCGTTTTTTTGTCGCTCGCTTCAGGTATTATTTCTTGTATTTTATGCATTCCCCAGCTTCAAACATTGATCATAATTTTACTCCTATTCCCAATTCCTAGTACATGTCTCAAACAAAATTCTTCTAAGAAGTTTTCCAAATTGATTATTTCAATAAACATTTAAATTTTCCAAGAAACACTCAAAGCTAGTAATAATACACAACAGTAGTTTAGAATACTGTATGGGTGGTCATCATGGTGGTTATAGCATTGATTCTTATGATAATAGCCAAACTTTCAATTATCAATAAAATGATTCTCGATATTTAGATTTAACAAAATTAAAAGTGCTAGTTTTTTGACAAACTTTTTTTTTTTTTTTTAAATGAAATCAGCCAATACCATGCCCATGTTATGCATAGCAAAAACTCAGATTTTTAATTTTAAGAAAAATAAACATTATTTGTTAACATGTCAAGTCTCATATAACATTTCCACAGCCCAGAAACATTTTCCTGCATGAACCAGAGCTACATGTAAAGATAGGAGACTTTGGACTTGCCAAAGATGACCTTGTGAAAGGATCTGATGACGTTCTGTTAACCCCATCTCCTGTTGATTTATATGGTAAATAAAATTGTCTACGAGGGTACAGTTTTTAATGAATTTATGGATTTTATTCAGTGCGATACTTACTGGATGTGAAGTTTATAAAAGATTAATCAGAAAAGTGTTTAAAAAGATGTAATTTTTTCAATATTTAAATAAAGAATCATGATGAAAATTTTGTTTTATTTTAATGAATGTTTCAAAAGTCATTTGAAATTTTGACTGAAATCTCTTCTCAGGTTATGGTCTTGAGACCTGATATCAATTTATTTACTTTCAGTTTATATGTTTAGATGCAATTTACATGCCAATAATATTTTTTAAATGATTCAGTTGTGATATTGTTACATTTAGATGAGTTTGTATGGGAGAAACATACATCAGGGGTGGGGACTTCCACATATGCAGCCCCCGAACAGCTGGAGGGGACTCTGTATAACTATAAGGTAATCAGACTTTTATGATTGTTGTTGCTAATTTATCACATCTCCTTTATTCATACACCTGTGTGACACCTGTATGAAATGAGAAATGAGTCTCTGTTTCCCTCTTTCAGAGTGATGTGTACAGCTTAGGTGTTATACTGTTTGAAATGTTCAACACTTTTCAAACAGAAATGGAGAAATTCCATTGTATGGATCAGCTCAGGAAAAACGGGGAACTAGATGAAGACTTTCTGAAGGAATGGCCCCTTCATGTAAGTCATTTTAATTTTGGGGAAGAAATTTCACAATTTTACTTTATTTTAGTCTTGAGGAAAGAAAATTATACTGTATGTTTTTTAAAAAAAGGGAAGGTAACAACATGTAATTGAGAAGGAAAGATGGTCTACAATATCAAATATACATGGACATTACTTTCTATTTAAGGCTAGTTTTGTTAAGAGAATGACCTCCCTTCATCCTAATGAACGACCTTCTGTCAGAGAGATATTGGACAGTGAATTGTTCCTCACTAAAGATCAGGTAACTCCTTGATACAAAAATAAAAGTACAATGTAGATACTTTTAGCCCACATACATGCATCTTAAAAATTCTTTTAAGGGGGCCAACTGCAGTTTTCATTGTGCAATACTGGGTAAATAAAGTAGATACGCACTTTTAAGGCAATTATTTCATAAAAAATTATCAAAATAAACAAAGTTAAGAAATCACAAGTAAAAAAAAATTAATTACATCTTTTAAGAATTGACAGTTTTAATGATATTTAAACTGATAGGTAGTTGGACAACATTATAGTGTGTTTATGACATTATGATAAACTGAAGTTCTCTTAGAGGGGGTCATAAAAAGTGTTATAAAAGTCAGTATAAAACATGTGCTCTTGAAATTTTAAAAATGGGAATTTGAAAATCGTGCAATTACTTTTTGTTATTTTCTGGGCAAATCTCTAGTATCTGTCATATTTTGTAGTACTCCATATATTAAACAGGAATTTTTTTCGATATTTCACATTATGAGATGCCCCCTCTGTAAACCAGACAGTGGAATTCAGTGTTTCTTGCATATACATGGATTGTACAGTATAGCATTTCTCATCACATATTATAATTTGAGCAGTCTTTTATAGTATTTTTATAATTTGCTTTGAAGTGCAAAAAAAGCATTTCCCCAAACATTCCTATAGAAAATGTAACTGTGTTTTGAGATGTCCCTAAAAATACATATAGGATAGGTTTTGCAAAACTCTTGAAATCATATAACCTTACAAAATGAACAGCAAGACTATTCTCAAAACTTTGGAGGACAAATGAAATTTTTGTCTGATCCTTATATAAAATAAAAATTGTTAAGATGTTGTTTGGTATGAAATCAAATTCAATGCAGAGAAATGAGAAGGGATGTTCAAAGTCTGTGATGGAGTAAAAAGGTCTAGGACTTACTTGTTATCGATTGATATATAAATGCATAAGTGCATTTTGATAAGCTAAGAATTTCATAGTTCATCTAATCAATGCCTTCTATATTAGAACCATTTAACATTTTAAAATACAGCCAAACTTTGTTATGTTACAAGTTTATGGAAATATTGACTGTTAGATGTGAAGACCATGTAATATTTATTGAGAAAAATGTATGATATTGCTTCACCGAGTTCTACTGTTTGATCTTGTATTTCCAGGTAATTCAGAATCTCAGGCAAACTCTGAAGGACAAAGATGAAGAAATTCGGAAATTAAAAGCAATGTTAGAAGAACGAGATAAAAAATTTGACAGACTGGAAAAAGACTTTGGAAAAGTATCAAATATTAAACTAGATCTGTGCGACAAGGAAAATGTGATGGTCTGAGTGACATTTAGCTGGTAAAGTTACTATAGCGCAAACTACCGGTAATGACTATTATTGATTTAAAGTTATTGGTATGAATGACCGAAAGTGCCCAGGAGTTAATAAGGACACTAAAAATTGAATAATTAGAAATTTATTGTGAGTGACAGTGTCTGGAAGAGTTCCCATTATTCAATGAATGTCTGTCCTTTGTGAATGGTTTTGGAGAGTTTAGTAATTTTGAATTTTTGTTGTTGAACTATATACAACATGTTAATAAAAGTTTTTTTTGACATTTAATTTGTTTGAGTTTTTGATGATTATATTCAGCAAGCCTAACTTTTGACCTCTGACATGTAGATGCTCCGAACTAAGTTTTGCTGTAGACAGCACAATATTCTTTGTAACAGGAAAAGTGGAAATTTAGGTTAGAGTAATCGCTGCATACCTAGGCAGGTGCTCTGATGTTATCTACCCAGGCGTATATGCATGGTCAATTTAGCTCAAACCATTACACTTTCAAAGCCTGCTCATGGCACCAACTGAGCAGGAAAGGAGAAAATCTATGGCTGGACCAGAAATCAAACCAAGGACCACTGCATACCTAGGCAGGTGCTCTAATCTTAGCTACCCAGGCAAATGTATATATTGTCAGTTTAGGACAAACCAATTCACTCTCAAATCCTGGTCATGGCATCAAATGTAACAGGAAAGGAGAAAATTTATGGCTGGATAGGGAATCAAACCTAGGGCCCCTGCATAACTAGTCTGGTGTTCTAACCACTGAGCTATCTAGGCTGATATCCACAGTACATATAGTCCAAACCATTACAATCTATTTGAAAGAAAAAGCAAGATTCTATTGATATGTGTGTAACTGCCATGGTTTTTACTTGGTCATGATAAGAACTGAAAAAAAGATCCTATGAAAAAAATCATGAATGGCTTTAACATGAGACATGATATCAAGTCATAAATTCTGTGATTTGGAAGTTATTTTTATTTTCAGGCTCTTGGAGAAGCTTTTTCTCGAGTTTTGTTAAATTTAAAACAAACCTTTTTGTATCTTAGCAAATTTTTTTGGGTGAGGAGGGAGGGGTGTATAAGAGTTGTAATTTCTGTCCTCTCAGAGATCCCATTTCATTTCTGGGTACATGTAAATATACATGTATCTAATGAAGCAAATTTATTCAATAGGGCAACATCAGGAGACCAATACTTTGTATTGGACTTGATAATGACCTTAGATCTGTAATCACTCCAAGTTAAGGTTATTTGAATAGGCCAGGGATCAAAATAGAAGTTTTGCTAAGGCCTTAACTTTCATACCTGTGCAGAGATAGCGAAAGCTTCATTTACAAAGAGTTCCCCACATAAGGTTGTGTCAAGACTCCAAGCCAAAATTAAGGCAAGGCCAAAGGAACAAGATGTGTTTGTGAAACACTGATGCCCCTGTATGGCAACTTATAGCAAAGGCTAAACTTTCTCAAATGCAAATCAAATATGTTGGTACCCAAAGTAAGGTCTTGTCTCGAGGAATATACCTGTGAAATATGAAAGCTCTAGCAGCAACCATTGAAGAGATATAGAAAAGGTTCAAGTTTTTCAAAAGTAAGTCAAACATCAAGGTCAAAGTCAAATGGTAAAAATTAATGGACCTAAGGAAAGGCCTTCTCACAAGAAATATACAGGTGAAATAGGAAAACTGAAGCACCAATCATTCAAAAGTTATGACCAAGGTTTAAGTTTTTTAAAAGTAGGTCAAACTCCAAGGTCAAGGTCAAAGGGTCAAAGTTGTTGGTATCCAAAGGAAGGTCTTGTCAAAAGGATTACATATGTGAAGCATGAAAGGTCTAGCACCAATTGTTCAAAAGTTATGACCAAGGTTAAAGTTTTTCAAAAGAAGGTCAAACTCCAAGTCAAGGTCAAAGGGTCAAAGTTGTTGGTATCCAAAGGAAGGTCTTACAACAAGCATTACATATGTGAAGTATGAAAGGCCTAGCACCAACGGTTCAAAAGTTATGGCCAAGATTAAAGTTTTCCAAAAGTGGTATAGATTCAAGTTTGTTCAAACCATGACCCCTGGGGGTAGGGTGGGGCCACAATGGACGTTCAAAGTAGGATATAGGAAAAATCTTCAAAAATCTTCTTCTCAAGAACAGCAAAACCATGTTGGTCATATTTATATGGAAGCATCTGCAGGAGGTGAAGATTTCAGTTTGTTCAAATTATGACCCCCGGGTTAGGGTGGGGCCACAATGGACAATCAAAGTTTTTCATAGGAATATATAGGAAAAATCTTGAAAAATCTTTTTCTTGAGAACAGCAAAGCAATGATTGGTCAAATTTATGTGAAAGTATCCTCAGGTGGTGTAGATTCAAGTTTGTTGAAATCATGACCCCCTGGGGTAGGGTGGAGCCACAATGGACGATCAAAGTTTTACATAGAAGTATATAGGAAAACTTTTTAAAAAATCTTCTTCTCATGAAGCACTGGGTCAGGAAAGATGAAACTCATGTGGAGTTATCCTCAGGTAGTGTAGATTTAAGTTTGTTCAAATCATGATCCCCAGGGGTAGGGTGGGGCTGCAATGGACAAAAGTTTTATAAAGGAATCTTTGGAAAAATCTTTAAAAATCTTCTTCTCAAGAACAGCAAAGCTATGATTGGTCATAATTATGTGAAAGTATCCTCAGGTGGTGTAGATTCAAGTTTGTTCAAATCATGACCCCCAGTGGTAGGGTAGGGTGGGGCCACAATGAAAGTTCAAACTTGTAGGTAAAAACGTCACAGTCAAAAAAATTATGTAAGCATTCTTAGTTAGTGTAGATTAAATTTTGTTCAATTTGTAACCCCCCCCCCCCCCCCACTCCCTTTTAGGGGTAGGTCGAGACCACTTATGCATTAAAGATTTTGAATACTAAACTGATTTTTGCTTTTTTCCTAGCCACAGTGCTCAGGTGAGATATGTGGCCCCTGGGCCTCTTGTTTAGCTCTCCTGAGCTGAAAGCTCAAGTGAGCTAGCTTTTCTGATCACAATTTGTCTGTAGTCCGTCTGTCCATCTTTATGTAAACTTTTCACATTTTAGACTTCTCCAGAACCACTGGGCCAATTTCAACCAAACTTGCCACAAAGCATCCATGGGTAAAGGGGGTTCAAGTTTAATCAAATGAAGGGCCACGCCCTCTTCCAAGGGGAGATAATTAAGGATTGGTGAACTTTTAAAATCTTCTCAAGAACCATTGGACCAAAAAAGTTGAAACTTATGTGAAACCTTCATTAAATAGTGTAGATTCAAGAGGCTACAAAGGGTGATCAAAGTTTTACATAAGAATATATATAGGTAAAAATCTTCTTCTCAAGAACAACAAAGCCACAATTAGTCATATTGATATGGAGTCATCCTCAGGTTGTGTAGATTCAAATTTGTTCAAATCATGACCCCTGAGGGTAGGGTGGGGCCACAATGGGGGATCAGAGTTTTACTTAGGAATATATTGGAAAAATCTTTTAAAATCTTCTTCTCAAGAACAACAAAGCCAAGATTAGTCATATTGATATGGAAGCATCCTCAGGTAGTGTAGATTCAAATTTGTTCAAATCATGACCCCCCCCCCCCCCCCCCCCCCCCCCCCCCGATTAGTGTGGCAGACATCTTTAAAATTCTATTTTCAAGAATAGCAAAGCCATGATTAGTTATATGACTAGAGAAGCATCCTGAGAAAGTTGAGATTCAATTTCATTCAAAACATGGCACCTGGGGGTAGGGTATGCCTAGAACAGTTGATCAACGCTTTACATATGAATATATAGGAGAAGAAATCTGCTGACTAAGAACAGCAGGGCCATATTGACTCAGGTGAGCGTTGTGGCCCATGGACCTCTTGTTCAAAAGGGCAGTTACAATTGGCAAGCACAATGCCATTTTTCTCAAATCAATTCTGATTATTAATAATGAGTGATACGTATTAATAGTGAAACAGGAATTGTTTACTTCTGCAAAGTATACTATGACAGGAAAATTTTTAGGGTCGGCTCATATAATTTAGGGTCAGTTGGGGAACCAGAAACACAAAACTTATTTTTCTAGGCCTACCAAGTCCACAAACATGCACTGCAGATTAAAGAATACAAGATTCTAAATAGCACTGTGCAGTACTTTTAATGAAAAACATGCACTGTACATTGTTTCATCTCTTTGTATCTCTTTCTTTAATAATTTCCTGGTTTTCATCATCTGACCATTCATCTTCTAACAGATCTATTTCATCTCCATTATCATCAACACTTTCATCTGTTATAAACCTTTGCATGTCTCTCACTCTTAGAGGACTGTGCATTGCTGATGACCCTAATTTTTTTGGAATACCAAGCCTATTGAGTTTTGGACTTTTGCTTTGTTCTGTATACATCTGTAGATTATCTTTTTCATCATTATTTAATAGTTCAGAATTAATCCTTTCATCATGATGGTTTCTATTTTGTTCCTTTTCACATTTAGTACTTTTGGCCCTTGTGATACTAAGTTCATCATCCTCATCATCAAAATCTTCATCATCATCATCTGACCACTCATCTTCAAGAAAATCTGGTTCCTCATACCTATCAACATTTTTGTCCTTAACGTCATCAGACAAATTTCTCTGCATTTCATTCACTCTCTGAGGAAGCCCAGTTGCTGACGCAGTGAAGATGTCTCGTCTGTCTTTCTCCTGTTGCTGTAATTCTCCTCGCCTGTCTTTCTCCTGTTGCTGTAATTCTCCACTATAAATTCTTTCTTTGCTCTCTTTCATAGATTTTTTCTCCCTCTTCCTCAGACCTGCCTGAAGCTTTTGTTTAGAATCCTGAATTGACTCCATTAATAGGGTGTGATCTAAACCATAAATGTCATCACGAAATGATTTTTCTACATATTCTTTCATTTGTCCAGGATCTCTTTCCTCCGAAATTTCCCGTAGCTTCTCCAGTATTTTGGGAGAGGCCTGCAGAATTGGTACACCATGGTAAGCAGTAGCCTGAGGATATTTCTGGGGTTCATAATCTGGACCATAGTCTGCTATTGATAGCATCTTATCAATATATTCCAGATAGGAGGTTTTTAATTGTGATTTGTCCCACACAAACTGAATATTGGGAATATGTCCAGAGATTTTTCTTCCTATTAGTAAAGATCTAAAAAAAAAAATCCAAAATGATTATTAGAACAGGATAACTGTTGTGTTGGTTAAGAATCACACTCCATTCATTTCCACATTTCAATGTAATTACCCCCCCCCCCCAAAAAAAATTAAATATGACTTTAGACCCTCCTCCCTTCTTGTTTTAAATGGTAAAGTGGACCGCTAAGAATTTCCTTTGCACAAGATAGGAAAGTGTGTCCAAGGTGAGATAGCATGATATAGAATCACTGGCCTTGACTCAAATTTTCTCCATTATTTTTGCAGAGTTTAGTTTGTTTGTTCTTTCTTTCTGGATTCATATACATGTACATTGATTTAGAGTAAATGATGTCAAAAAATTGAATTTTTGATTTACCGCATTTTCTTTGCCTTCGAGTTGAGAAGATTTCTGACCACCTCTCTCTTTTCGACGTCATCAGATTTTGTCTGCCAGTAGATGTTCATTGAACTCATCTCAGGACTCCAAACAACCTGCAAAACACCCAAGTAATGTAACTCTCACCTTTCAGTCCTGCTCGGATTCATTTTGTGATACTCAGTGTGGTCATACTGTAAACTAACTTTTATTTGTGAGCAAGAAATATCCGCAAGTTTCGCGACCTTTTTTAACTTGCGAATATTTATTGTTGTGAACCAATTATTCACCTATGTATTTATGTAGAATGTTGCCTCAGTCGCGAAAATTAGTAGTAGCAGATGGATTCTAATCTGAAGAATCACGAAGAAAAGATATTGCAAATATTAATTGATTTACAGTATTCTGTCAATTGGCCAATATTTTCTTGGTGAAAATATAGGTATTAGCCCTAGTGGAAACTAAGCATTGGTAGTTTAAAGATTAAAACAATCCAAAGATATTTAAATTTGTATTTACTAATGATACTGTAATATATGTATAATGAAGTCAAACATACATACATCAGAAATACTGACGCCGAGGGTTGGAATTTCTGGGTCTAGATCACCACTGTCTATAATGTCCACCACAGTCCCGTGTACGACCTGACTCACTCGGAAAGAGCGATGTTTGCTTCCCTCAGACACATACTTCTTAGCTGTTGTAATGTTATTCTAGGAATAATTCAGAGGATATGATGAAACTAAAAATATCTATAAATGTACCAATGTTTTGACCATTTGACATGGGACACTTACTCCTCCTAGGCACCTAATCCAACTCTGGAATTTCTGGGGTTCCCTTGTTTTATGCCACGTTCACAAATTTTTATTGTTTGTAGGTTTTTTTTTTCAGAGTAATCACTGTGCATTATCTTCACCTTTTTCATTTTCAATACAATGTTTTTATTTGATAATTTAGGAAAAAAAATACTGCACATACATACTAATCAAGTAGAGTACATGCTCAAATTTCTTTTTGAGGTAATTTAAAAAATCTTTCATAAAAATACTGTAGAAGTGGAATTTTTAGCGAGACACAAATTTAGCGATTTATCCCAAAACAATTGGTATGCATTTTTAACAAGAAGTAATTTTAGCGATTTTATAATGTCAAGAAAGATAGCTGTTACAGCCGATAGGGTATAAATTGTTAGCAATATTCAATTTTAGTGATCTCAAAACCCTTGCTAATAATGCCAATTTCAACTTGTATCCTCGCTAAAAATTCTGCTTATATATATACAGCCCTCACATCATATCAAAGGCTACCACTTCTTAATTACAAAGGTCAAGTAACATTGCTCCAACTCATTTCAGAGTCAGTTACAACTCTATTGAAAACATCTCTTTCTTATATTTTAGGCCATCTTTAAAATATTGTTTGTTTGCCCTCTCCCCACTGACTGGGTAAAAATTTCCCAACTCGAAACTTTTTTAACCTCCAGGAAACGATATTTTTTTATTCCTGAATTTTCTCATCTTGTCAAATGTATGTTGAAATTTTCTAGAAAAAATTTTACGGCTACCTACTGACCCAATTTTTTAATCTTGAGATAGGAGAGGACAAGCAAACATTTTAAAGTTGGCCTTATTTAGGTCTATCATTAAAGAGAATACCAGAATAGATCATCCACAACATGTATATTTGTTTAACTACCAATGATGTGGTCAAGGTTACAGGATAAACTCCAATGGTGGTACAGGCAACCACATCATCAAATCCTGCTTTTATCTACGTTTAAATTAGATGAGTTGATCATATGAGTTCATCTTCAACAGGAAAAAAAATTCTACACTAATCTCAAGGTCAAAGGTCAAGGCCAGGGTCAACTCAATGGTAATACAGTAAAACACGATTATAGCAAAAACCGTGTGTTACTGTATTACCATTGAGTTGACCCTGGCCTCGACCTTTGACCTTGAGATTGATGTAGAATGAATTGACACTTACAGCAAAGTGATTTTTAATCCTTGTGGTTTAAAATGTATTGTTATCTTAACGGATATAACAAATTACGTTTATAATGAATCAAAATTGCACGTCCCTGGCACTTCGCTATTTATAAGCGTGTTTTACTGTATTTGACATATGTATTATTCGTGCAAGTATGGCTCAGGTAAGGCTTGTACATAGATAGAAAAATGACCTGCTCCAAAAACTTCACTTGATGTGAGCTGAAAAAAAAAATTGAATGAATCCAGAGACATAAGTGATAGCTATGTCTCTGATGAATCCTATTTTAATATTTTTTACAAAGAACTTACCCCTGTGAGTTTAAATGGCCTCTTTCGCCTATTAAAAATAAAAAAAAATAATACATTTATATTCGTTATAAAAAATTACATGCACTTATATATAAAATTGCATATATTACTTCAAAACATTATTTTTTTTTTTATTGATTTCATGATTTATATTAATGATGAAAACGTGAACAAATTCTTATTCTCCCTAAGGAAGCGCAAAATGTGCATAGAATTTCGCTAACTTTTTCTTGCTTCCGTCTAAGAGTTTTTGTAGATACTTGGAAGTTGAGCCATGTCGTTGAATCACTTGAGACGACTGGAATATCAGTAGTCCTAACCTTTTTGAAGTTCTTCCCCACATGTTAATCACGAATAAAAACAGTCGGGCTCGCTACACACAATTTCTATTTTCGATTTCACCACCAGGCAACATCCGGTTTTGGACTGAATTTCCTCAAGTGCAATATGTCAAGTAGAGCGTTGAGAAAATTACATGGGAATCAGGACTTGGACGTACTAGAAAATGGTAAAAGTACCGATGACGAGGAAGAAGATGTAGACAGTGAAAAAAGAAGATCTACCAAGAAGAATCGAAAGCCACAGAACCCGTTTCTCTTGGTACATGATTTTTTTTCTGTGTTCAGGCAGGGACCTATATATCCCTGGTTCAGGGTTCAGGGCTTGGGTGTTTACTGTCTTTACACCTATCAACAACACGTAATTTGAGAACTCGGAGTCCAGATAACGCACTTCTCACTGCTGTGGTCCGAGTTTGATCCCTTTAAGGTGGTCGTCCACTCTATCACATAGTTTTTCTCCAGGTACTCTGATTTTCTCCCACAGAAATTATCCACTTGCGCTAACATCCATGCAACAAAGGACCCATTTGAAATAAGTTCTGAGCTTTCATTGGCTATCCTTAGTATCATATTATACATGTACCCATTTCATAACTGTTTTATTATACCGAAACAATCCAAAGGAGATTTAATATTAAACCAGATACTCAGACACTTTTTACACAATATAGAGGCATTCAAATAAACACAAATACATTTTATATTGAGGAAAATAATAACATAGTTTTTAAAAAAAAAAAAGAAGCAATTTTACTGATATTTTAGGGAATTATCCTGCTCGTCATTTAGCTGTTATTTCCAGAATGATTTTGACATTGCATGTCAAAATGTTTTGATGTCATAGTTACATTGCTAATAATATTACATCACAGACTCATGAATCCTTGAACGCTCCACCCATGGAGCATTTTATTTAGTTAATAAAAACATTAATGAATATTAATGAGGGAGTAGTCCCAGGGAGTAGCTCTGATTTTACAGGGAGTCAGTCCTCAGATGGGGGAAGTAGTGCCTTCCCAGGGAAATAGACAGTTCTATGGTATTGATTTTATACAGAGTAATAACAGTAGAGGTATAATAAATTGTATTTAATTCTATAAAATACAGATGAAAAAATAATTCCAAGTACAAGGCTTATGAAAAATATTTTAAAAGACTCCATATATTTACTTTTGCTATGTTGTGTTTATACATGAGAATTTAATTTATAAAAGTCAAGGCACAATAAAACAAGTGAAAGTGAATCTAGACAAGAGAAATTGGCGCACTAGCTGCTATTAATGTACATTTCTCAACAAGAAGGTACACCTACAAAGCTCTTAATCATACTAAGAGTTTAATATGATGTTCAATGTTTTTTATTACCTCAGTTAGGAGAAGAGGAGGAAGAAGATGATAATGAAGAAAATGTTGAGGAAAATACACCTCAAGAACAGGTGTTCAAATCTGAAACAGGTGTAAACAGGAAGAAGAAGAAGAAAAAGAAGAAGAAAAAGAAATCGGCTGAAAAAGATATTGACAATGAGGTGAAATTATAGCTACACTGTATTATGATGACATTTTCAGGAAAATTATTGCAATGTTTTCTTAAATAACATGAACCATTCGGATGAACAAATGTTTGAAGTTTTTCATGTTTACATTCATCTTATCAGATAATATTATATTATTTATTTATAATATATACAAAGCATATGAAGATTTTAGTTATCTACAACTATAATATTTTCCAGTGCACTTCTCTCATGAATGACATTCTTATAGTACATGGTGTATGACTTTAAAAAAAGGAAAGAAATTTTTGTTGAAATACTGGTGATAATTTAGGATTTGTGTTTTGTGAATAGGATGACGAAATTGAAGCCAGTATCAAAGAGGTCAATCGCATTCTGGAAAACTCTGGTCTTGGAGCAGAATCTATTACAAAAGCAGACAATGTCAATGACTCCAACAAGGCTCTTCTCACAGTGGAACACAAGTCAGCATTTATTTCATAATTAGTGCCTCATGTCAATAAGATCAGATTATATGAAAAGTCATAATAAAAGCCATAATAAACAAATCTTTCATACCGAAGAGATATGAATATTGATTTTCTCAATTGATTGCAGAAATTTGAATCCAGATAATGAGCTAAAGAGGATATTTGGATCTCGAGTCATCCAAGCTGAAACATCGTAAGCTTATATATGTCAAATGTCCAAAGCTTTTAATATTTCAGAGCAACGACATAACTGGCCTTTTGTTAGCCCAGGAACATCTTAAAAGCTTTTCCTTATTTACATAGAAAATCTACCATTTCAAACACTTAAGTTGAATTTTGAAAAATATAATCGTATTCCTTTCTGATCTAGAAGGAGAAGACAGAGAAATATGCCAATGCGTCGACGGGCAAGTTGGTTAGCCACACCTAAAGATACCTGGCCTCACATAGGAAAAACAGGTACTAACTTTCTGCTATTTCATTATTTACACACCTTTATTCTCTAGATTTCAGAACAAACAAAATTCTATTATTTTATTATCCAGAACAGATGATAATGCTAATCCTTATTACAGTAAAACTCGGTTATAGCGAAGTCCTGGGGACCTGTGAATTTAATTTGCTATATCCGTAATTCGTTATATCCGTATAACAAATTCGTATAACTATACATAGCGAATTCGTAATATACATGTTTTCCTTCAAGTATAACTACCGAATATGTTAGGGAAGCAATTATTACAAAACATACCTTGGATAACTATGGTTTTTTTATGAATTGAATTTTATATACAAATACTTACTGAAAATAAAGTCAATTCAATTTATCAAATTTTAAGATCTATAAAAATTCATTATAAAAGAAGCAAATTTCATTAATTTAAACCTCTGCGGGACTCTAAATCAGTTCCCTATATCCGTAAATTCGTTATATCAGAGTTGGTTATAACCGTAAAATTTTACAAAGAATTGTTAAGAATTTTGCCAGGGACCCCGGAAAACTTCGTTATATCCGTGAATTCACTACATCCGTGTTCGTACTAAACGAGTTTTACTGTACTGACAAAAGGTGGTTGTTTTTCTTTTATTCATAACTGATACTAGTAGCAGCACAATCTCTATGGACAACATGTACGAACAGAAGAAATTTAGGTTGAAATCCACACATTTGCTGAAAGAAACTTTGATGGGACTGTGTGAAAAAATTCTAAAACTCCCAATCTTCTTTGTGTGCATTATTGCAACATGTGGCTTAAGCATAAGAACAACTTACTTGAAAAAAATTACAAACAAGGATGCAATTTCCATGCAACAAAACCTTTGTTTACATCCTCACTAAACATGACTTTGCATATGAAGTCATATTTTCGTCACTTATTTAAACAATAAAATGGTTTCTTTGGTTGTTAGTACGGGAATTAATGTTGTAGAAAAAATACATATGTGATTTTTTCTGCAATAGCTGCGACGTTAATTCCCGTACTAACAAACATAGACATTTTATTGTTTATATTTATATCTTTTTTAAAAAAAAACATTCAACGTAAATTAAATATGTTAAATATTGTATTATAGATGTGTATGTCATTGTATGCATAATTGATGTAACAGCCGTTGCATAAGAAATCTATGCAGGTGGCTTGCTTAGTGTTGTTTATGGACTGATTAAAGACAATGGTTTTTCTAAGGAATAAAGGAAATAATATTCAGTGGATGTAAAATTACATGGTTCATGTATTTCCAATTTTGTCTGGTATATGTGAGAAATGCAGAATCTTGATCCAGACTCATGGAGACTTTGCAAAATATTGTTTGGAAAAATATAATGACCTTACAAGATGCAGTGAATGCAGGCAATAAGAGCTTACAGAGAATTGTAAGGTCATTAGCAGCATGTAAAACAACATTTGAGAGGTGTAGAATTCATAAAGTATAACAGAAATGAAACTACACTCACCCTATTAGTGATATTTGTCAGCTAGTTGTTTCCTATTTTACTCAAGCATTTAATATCACAAATGACTGGTAAGCATCAAATGGCAAGAACATGAATTGGCAAGTGGACTGTTAATCAAGAGATTTTATATGTTTTTAAGAAATATAAGAATAAAAGCGAGCATTATATTCATGCTTGTCACAAAATGACGAGATAATAAATTCCTCACATACATTTTCTTTTTTTCTTTCAATGTCAAAGGGTTGACAATGTCACTAAAAGAGACACAGGGGAATGTGAATTACTTTGTATATGAACACAACCATCAGTATCAGCAAGTGCAATTCCAGTTCTATGATGCCGTGGAATCCCTGAATCCTCAGAATATTATGGTAATCATAGATCATCTTTTTGGAACATTTGAAGTTTTCTCAAACGGTGTTTTTTTATATGATCTTTACATTAAATTTGATGTTTGTTTCAATGTATGACAATTACTTTTATGACAGGACATTGTCAGATCACATCCATATCATGTGGATTCTCTGATCCAGATGAGTGAGGTGTTCCGCATGAATGAAGACATGCAGACAGCTGCAGATTTAATAGGTGAAGCTTACCTGTGCTATAAACTTACAAATAATGTATAAAAATTACCCATAAATTTGGCTCATTTGGAATGATTATAAATGTATTTAAAAAAAACAAGTTCATTAAACAGTGCCACTGGCTATGTGCTTGTTATATTGTAATTGAACTTTAATGAATGACTTCCTACAACAAAGAAGACGATGCTTTGGTCACGTTTACAGTTCTGTTAGCTTGTTTCAAGTACATGTAATTTAGAAGGAATTGAATTGAATTTCACATGATTTTTAGAGAAAGTGTGCCCTTAGGAAATGATGAATCTGTTATTGTAGGGATGCTGAGGCTTGAATTTCCTTCTGATTTGTCACAAAATTAAAAAAAAAGATACAATAACAATACAATTAACATACTTAAAGCTGACATTATGTTTTAGATATGCTTTATATTTATTCCAAAATCAGTAAAACACACTTATAGCAAAGTGCTAGAGACAA